GTACCTTCGAATAATTGGAGAGAGTGTCGTTGCATGTACCCTGTGGAATGTCCACTGCTTGCTTCGACATCATACTTGTGCATCGCCTGGACTTCGAATTCACGGAAAACGGGATATGGAAGGTGATAGATGGAGTTGCGCATATATTCTCAATAGGCTTTCGTCTCTATTAAAAGCAGATGTTAAATTTGGCAACGCAGTGACACTTTTGATGAATGAAAATTTAAAATTTTCGGATGTTCTTGACCAAACGGGGATTTTTGCAGAGGAGTTAAGGAAGACTGCGGATGGACAAGTTTTTTGCCTTCGAACAGGAGACCATCTAGGAGTGGGAGCGGGCTCATATAACGGCATCATGTTTGATTTGGTTGCCAAACACGTCAAGGTAAAAGTGACGAGAGTGAGTTTTGTTCCCGATACGACGACTTTGGCTCGAGTGACGCTTTTTGTTCGTGACGGAACATTTATGGGAGTAGAGAGCGAAAGAACGGAATGGCGACTTATTATGGATCAAGAAATGAAGCTGGTTGACAAGCGGGAGACTGAGTTAACTGAATTTGATCCCGTTATTATTCCTGCAGGTGAACGTGTGGCCTTATTCCTACATACGACAAGTGGGAGCGGTGTTCTTTTTTACTCCGAGACGGATGGTGTGAGGGCAAATATGGCAGCTGTGGAAGAAGAAAATGATCACATAGGTATCACGGTTGGGAAGAAATCGGAGAACGTGATGCCTTTTGTTGGTATTCAGAATCAGAAACGGTTGCTGAAGGGTAGCATTACCTACACATTACCCTCGCAGGCTGGGGGATATAGGAGTAGGCTGAGGATAGTTTCCCACGATAATTCAACTTGCTTGCAACAGCAACAACAAAATTTGTTGGGTATTCCTGTGATTGTGGCTGAAACTCGACCCGGATTGATATTCGATATGAATGAAGACGATTATCTTGTCTTCATGGGTGAACATTGTGAATGGTTTCATAAGGATCTCATAAGAAATGCCTGCTTTACGGAATCATCGAATTTAGAAGAACTGGATTTGATCCTTCAGAAAATTCTTTGCAAAAGACGCAAGCCTCCATGGGGGATATCGCGTCAATATTTGTGCTATCGCCAACTTGTTTTTCACAAAAGGATCCAGTCGAATACTGAGACTGACCCATCGCGTCCGTCTGTTGTCTGGTGGATTTCTGATCCCATTACGAGTTCCTGCATTGTATCAGTGTGGCAAGTTATCGCAATGGCAGATACTTCATTTTTGTTGTTGTTGACATCACAGGATTTGTCTTTATCTCAATCTTCTAATCAGGAAACTCTCTTGAGTCAGGGACAGGCCTTCTTCTACATTGATGAATGGGCACGAAGTGTGATCTTATCAGGCAACACTGGACCCAAAGTGGTGAAACAATTACAGGACAGCCTGTCTGAAAATCATCTTTATTTGGCGTTTTCTTCTATGGATCTAGAAGCCATGAATGCCCCTGTGGCAGCTTTTCTTAATCGGTTCACTGAGGATATTACTGTCAGGTCCGCAAGCGATACAACTGCCCTAGTTTCTATTCGTCCAGGCGCATGTCTTCAGGAATATATATTTTTGAACGGCATGGTGTTGAAATGTTCTGCCGAAGGTGGGAAAACAACAACGCTTTCAAGGGCAACTTCTCTTACTTCTCAGAGGGATGTTCGTGTGACTCAAATGCCATGTTTGCACATACCGAATGAAACGTCTGGCAATTTGGCGTCCACGCTGACAGGAACAGGGGTGGTGGAGCAGAGCCATCCATCCCATTTTTTTTTGGAAATGGAATTGCGAGAACTTTGCATTAGCCAGGATGTCATACTGCACACCCAATCAGAATTTCTAGATGTATCCTGTCGTTGCGTCCGACAAATTGCACATGGTGGCTCTTTCCTTTGCACGGTTACCAAGCCCGTTTTTTGCGGAGAAAAAGTTCACGAAATAGAGCTTCTTATTGTGAGCTCAAATCGTCACTCGGTTCAACTAAGCTTTCAGGATGTAACTACGAATTGGTTTCTCCGAGTTCCTTTGCCTCTTTTTAAGCATTATGAAAATTTTTATTTTTCTTCTTCGGAGACTGTTCAGTGTATTCATTTGCGTCTTCGTGTTTTTCCGCAGGCAAAACGGGCTTTTGCGTCGGTGAATGGCGGGATGTTTTATGAGGTCATTCCTGGTTATGATTGTCCTTCAGAGTTTCGGTTGGCTATTTCTCTATCGGGTATTGCTTCTTCAGTGCAGTTCTTGCATTGGCGAGTATTTGATAGGCATTCACCAGTCATTACGCGGGAGATGCTGGAAACAATATGGAGTCGTTTAAGAGTGGGATGTATCTCTCCAAATGTTTCTCAATCTGTAGGGGTTTTGACACGTCATTCACGAACACCTGCGAATTTGGTTTCTTCACGTAAGAAAGATGTGGGTCTTGTGTCTCAGATAGAGGCCGCCATGGTATCTTATGCTCGGCAACTTCTTGGAACCGTCATTTTGAGTTTAAAATCTCCATGCTTACACAAAGGACTACATATATTGTTACCATTTACTCCATTGCGTAGTGATTTGAATGCTTTGGAAGTTCTTGTTGGGGCAGAAATGAAAAGATCATCTTTTTCTTTGCTTGCGTTTGCCTATGCATGCCTTGCAACCCCAACAGTGGCTCAGAGCCTGGAAGGAGTGGAGACAAGTGTCAATATTATTTTTCTCTCTTTAAGCAATGAAAAGGTTTTACCGTTTCTTTCTACTGCATTTGGTCCAACGTTAACATTGTTGCTCCTTCGTACTGCCACTGTTTATACTCGATCGATTAGGCACATGGCTCTTCGTTGTGTTCTTCAATTACTCAAAACGGACCAATGTGCTTTGCCCTCTCATGAGGCTTTATGTGCATCTTTTGATCCTCTATTGGGAATGATGAATGGACTATGTTGGAAAGGCAGAACCTCATCTGTTGTTGTACAGCTCGGTATTTCACTAATCTGCGAGTTGATACGACGTTATCAATTAGAACGTTCAGCATTAACACCTCCTGGAAAGAAGTCCACTGTCCCCTATGCAATAGCTGCCTCCACAAAAATTGTGCTTGCCGCTATTACAAGTAATCCTCCAGTTCCATTACCTGATGCCTTTACAGAGGAACCTAAAGAGGCACATCGTATAGAATACGAATTGCGCACAAGTACTTCATCTAATGAGGGGATGAGATCTTGTTACGGTGTGTTTTCTGAAAAATTTCGCTCTACCTTTGGATCAAAACGATTTGAAGTGGTTTTAAACCCTTCAAGAAGGGGAAACGTGGTTGTTGGATGGGATATGAATGCGGCGTTACCCGGATCTCTTGTTTTCAAGCCATCCCAAGGAGAAGAAATGTCCCGAAGAATCCGGTTGCCATCTTGCGGGTATTTTATTGATTGTAGCGGCAAAGTGTATGTCTGCCTCAGTCATAAAAAGGAGTCTCAGCCACTGAAGGCCAGAGCGAAAGGGGGAGACACCGTCATTGTGAAGTGTCTGTATCATGAACAGACCGTTATTATAACTCTTCAACGCGGTGTGCGTAACGAAAGTGTAACCCGGTTTGAAACGTACCCCAATGAAATGTTGGCTCTTCCGGTGTTTTTTGCGGAGAGAGAAGAGGATGCCACTTTTAATGGAGAACATCTCTCGGACGCTTCCACAGGCATGGACATTGCTCAGCTTTACAATACATTACAAGAATTTCCGGATCGTCTTGACACGGCGGTTATTCCTCAGGGATACGATTTTTATGCAGAGTTGGCTCATTTTTGTCAAACGGTTATGAGTTCAGAAAAAATCTGTGCTTTGTTGGAAAACGACGCAGGTACTACGGTCCGTTCACACGATTTGGCAAGTTTTCCACTTTTGTCATCTTTTCTTGGTGCCGGTGCGTTTACTAACGAGATTCCATTGGATCCTTTGATTCCGTATATGAGACGACTCCAGGTCTTTGACGTACTAACTTCAGTCTTTTCTGCTGTGGTGGACCTCCGGCGAAAAACGGAGTTATTTGAGCTTTGGAAAAAACTCAAATTTCTCTGTTCTGCAGAGTCTTCTGAAAAAATTCAGAATGAGACGATGCGCCCCTTCCGAAATCGTCCAGGACTTAAGGCGAATGTGATTATCCATACAATGCAAGCACGCCCCTCGATGCGTCTTGGGCCTTATCCGACTCTTATGCGTTCCGTCTTTGGACAGCTATTTGTGCAGCTTCAGAAAAGCCCCATTTCTACCTTTTATGCATCACCTATGTTTACTGTGAAGCTTGCAGGATTTGGTTCTACAGATGCTGGTGGACCATATCGTGATATTCTCTCGCAAATAGCCACGGAAATTATGACCACACACCCTAATGGTACATTTCAGTTAAATCCTCTTTTTGCTCAGTGTGGTCGTGGGGGGCAATCTGCGGTGATGCCTAACGTGTCTATGGCTTTGAATTCTCAGTCGTCTTTTATGTTTGAATTCTTTGGGAAGTTAATTGCATCGTGTTTTTTGACAAAAGATCTTCTAGCGGTGGAGTTTCCACCGTTATTTTGGAAGTGTTTACTCTCTGAGGAAACTACAAGCCAAGATCTTCTTGCGATTGATCCTGATATAATGCGTCAACTGACACCAGAGGACCTCATGGATCGTACAGCAGATGAACTTGAAGAGAGATTTCCGGGCATTTTGGAAAGTTGGTCGACTTTTGTGACGGAAAATTCTCAAATGAACCTGGGAGCTGAGATTCCACCCTCAACGATCCGGTCTGCCAAGATACTTGGAGAACATATTTCTACACTTGAACTTCATAAATACGATGTTGCAATAAGCTACACCCAGCGGGGCTTTGACGAGGTGGTTCCATTATACACACTTAATGCTTTTCGTTGGCAGCAGGTTGAATTAATAATATGTGGAGCTCCGAAACTATCGTACGATGCATTACGTGAAGTTTGTCAAGTAAGTTTACCTGCAAATGATGCACGGATGTTTTTGGACGTTATTGCATCCATGACAGATGAAGATCGAATGCTGCTTTTGCGATTTACAACGGGCCAAACACGGCTACCACTGAAGGAAGCCATTAAAGTTCAACGGAATGGAACACATGACTCTCTCCCAACCAGTAGCACTTGTTTTTTTACGCTTCGTTTGCCTTCTTATTCTTCTTATGAATCTATGCGTGAAAAGATTCTTTATGCCATTCGACAGTGCAAAGCGATTGACACGGATGGGCAGGCAAGGGAACATATTGTTTTAGACCATTGATTCACAATGCAAGGGATCAAATGCAATGCAAGGCGCCATGTAATATCAAATCACCACCAATATAATATATATGATGGAAAAGGGAGAAAGGAAAAGAACAAGTAATTTCTATATAAGGAGCTATTTTTCCCTTTTGGCTTTCTCAAATGACGATAAAGGTGGAAGGGAAAGATCATCAACACGTAATGATAAAGAGGGAAGGCAAATTTCACTTTCGGGCTGGATTGCGTCCCTGTGAATGGTTTGCGCACTTCCTTCTTGCTATCTTAAGCTGTTTTGGCCGCATTAAACATGCATTACCAGTAGGGCTCACCAAAGAACATCGTTGGCATCGTCTTCAGTAGGAAATTTTTTTTGTTTCTTTCTATTTCTTTTTTTTTTTTTTTAGTTGCGCCTTTAAATTTGTTCCTACCAATTATTTAAATAACAAGGAAAAGGAGATTTAAAGAAAAAAAAAAGTCAAATACATCATAATGAAGTACACTTTTGTGGGCGACTTTATCAGCAAGTGCGTGAAGAAGCGCGACCCCCCAATCAACCCGAATTTTAGCAGGCGGTTCATGAAGTAATGACCTCGCTTTGGCCTTTTCTGGAAAAGCATCCAGAGTACTGCCAGGATTCTCTTCTGGAGCGCCAGGTGGAGCCCGAACGTGTCGTTCAGTTCCGCGTGTCATGGGTGGATGACAAGGGTGAAGTGCAGGTGAACCGGGCGTGGCGTTTTCAGTTCAACTCCAGCATCGGCCCATACAAGGGCGGCATGCGGTTCCACCCCTCAGTGAACCTGTCTATTCTTAAGTTTCTTGGCTTTGAGCAGACGTTCAAGAACTCCTTGACAACACTTCCAATGGGTGGCGGCAAAGGTGGGTCGGACTTTGACCCCAAAGGGAAGAGCGACCGTGAAGTGATGCGTTTTTGTCAGGCTATGGTGACGGAGCTGTACCGCCACATCGGTCCCGATACGGATGTTCCAGCTGGTGACATCGGCGTTGGCGGTCGCGAGGTTGGCTACATGGCAGGCATGACTAAGAAACTGACAAACAACAATGCCTGCAAATTTACAGGCAAGGGCATTTCGTTTCAGGGGAGTCAGATGCGCCCCGAGGCTACGGGTTACGGCCTTGTCTACTTTTTGGATGCCTTGCTGAAGAAGCATAACCAGGAACTGAAGGGGAAGACCGTTGTTGTGTCGGGGTCTGGCAATGTTGCGCAATACGCTGTTCAGAAATGCCTCCAACTGGGCGCGAAGGTGCTCAGTGTCTCAGACTCACGGGGTTGTGTGCATGACGCTGAGGGCTTCACCCCTGAAAAGCTGAAGGTCTTGATGGACATCAAGAACGTGAAGCACGGCACTGTGGAGGAATACGCAAAAGGGTTGGGGCTCCAGTACTATGCAGGGAAACGCCCATGGCTCATCAAGGCGGATATTGCTCTTCCGTGCGCGACGCAGAACGAACTGGAGCTTGAAGATGCGAAGGCACTGATAAGGAATGGTGTCACGGTTGTTGCTGAGGGTGCAAACATGCCGACAACGACGGATGCGACCATGGAACTCATCAAGGCCGGTGTGCTGTTTGCCCCCGGAAAGGCTGCCAACGCCGGCGGGGTCACCATCTCTGGTTTGGAGATGTCGCAGAACGCAGCGCGTCTAAGCTGGACAGCCGAGGAGGTGGAGCAAAAACTCCGCGATATCATGAACTCCATCCACGACGCGTGCGTGAAATATGGCACAGAGGGTGGCAAGACGAATTACGTGAATGGGGCCAACATTGCCGGCTTTGTGAAGGTCGCGGAGGCCATGAAGGGTCTTGGCGTAGTTTGAGATCTCTGTTGGGAAACATTGAAAAAAGAAACGATAATTTTAAAGCTGAAGGAAAACGCGAACAATCAAATAAAGTGGTGAAAAAGAAAAAAAAAAGCTTGTGATTTTTGGTATTACAGGAATATACAAATATCTCCGTACGCAGAAGTGCGATTTCTGTGGTGTTTGTGTGTCCGAAGGAAATGCCGTTATATTTGCGGAATGTCTTGACATTGCTGCTTTATCTGTTTTTTTTTTTTTTTTTTTTTTTTTCTTATTTTTATTAAAAATTTTTTTAAATATTATATTTAGTGAGGGTTTTTGAATTAAACGCGAGGGGGGAGAATTCACGGGGATTAATTATCATAAGTCATTGATGACTATTTTTATTATTATTATCATTATTTATTTATTTATTTATTTATTTATTTTTAAAAGTTTCTTCCACTTTATGATAGATCGGCCTTCTGGGTCTAACGAATTTTTTTTTTTTTTTAGGATATTTTTTTAGTACTTTTTCAATTCATTTATTTATATTTATTTATATGCGGATTTTGACTTTCATGGGGCATGGGTGAATGAAGGAATGGATGTTTTAAGTTTTTTTATTTTTATTTTTTATTTTTATTTTGGTTGACTTCCTTTTTTTCTTCTTTCTCTCTTCGGCATACTTTTAAGGAATAGACAAAAGGGGTCTGGCGGATTCGTTTTCTCCATATATATATGTATGTGTGTGTATTGTTTGACGGAATCTTCATGTACGGGATGCCTGCTGCTTTCAAGCCACGCAACGGTCAACGGCTGCCGTCGGTGATGGACCTCAATTTCACGATACGTTTCTTTTTTTTTTTTCTTTCAATTTGTTGTTGCTGCTAATTTCTTTGACGGAAACAGCAGTTACTTGATGTGTGTGTGTGCCTTCATGCGGGAAATGCCAATTTGCCAACCTCCTGCGGTGTGGCGAGGGATACGTCTCGGCGCACGGCATGAAATTGACGGATTGTAACTGCACGGGGTGCTTCTGGTGGGGCTGGAGGGAAGTGGGGGGGGGGGGGGGAGTCGTGTGGGTCGTTATGGCGTTTTTGAGGACGGGCTTTTTATGTCATGTCTACTACTTGGTGCCGGCAACACGAATTTGGTTCTGCACTGAGTTTTCTGGTGGTTTGGCGTCTTCGGATTTGGGAGGGAGACGCAAATGCCTCAAGGCGTTTGGTGGCGGCGGGACGGGAGAGGGGCGTGCTCGGGTGCGGCGTCCGTCCCTTCTGTGAGCCAATGAAAAGGGAGACCACCCAATTTTTGCGCGGCGCTCGGTGTTTTTTTTTCTTTTTAAATTTTTATTTTACTTTTTTTTTTCTTGCGATTTTTGTTTTAGTCGTAGCGTAAACAGCGCTCGGGTTGAATTTTTTGCGGAAATGTTGAGCGCCACGTTCTCCCTGTTGCACCGGAGATTGTCTTCGCTCGGCTTCGATGGGTGGGATGCGGTGACGGAGGAGGACGTGTACTCAGGCGCTCCACACTGCTACGCGGAGTTGATGCGTGCCATTCTTTTCTCGTTCCCCCACGATACGGCGGCGTTGATGCGCAAGTACCCGTGGCTCTGCATCGAGGGAGAAGACGGGGCCCTCGCGCATTCTGTTTTGCGTCTGTTGTCTCTCGAGGGCAGCCGCAGGATCGTCATCAAAGCGACGCAGTTTGGGGAGAAGAAGTACGCGGCCGCGAAAATGAATATTTGCATAGAATTGTTTGATCTCTTGAGCCGCTTGTCTTGGCTCCGAGAAAACACACATGGCACACGCGCCGCGGCGAGAAGGGCTGCGCTCGCACGTGCAATTCCTTTTTATCCAGCGGCCTGCGATGCGTCGGCCTTTTTCTTAAAGGCGCGGCTGGGCGAACTCAATGGAAGACGGAAGGCTCTCGATCACCACCTTGACCGCGAATAGAGCCAGAGGCGGGCCACGAAGTAGACCACACCTTTATTTATCCTCACTGGCTTCCTGCTGTTTGGTTTTCTCCTGTTTTATTATTTTTGTTTTGTTTTTGCCGTGGTAACTGCGTTGGCGGCCCGTGTGGGAAGTTTCTCTTCTCTGAAGGCGCACATTTGAGTGTCCGCGGTGGGGGGTTGGTGTCTTGTGAAGTAAAAAAAAAGAAAAGGAGAGTCCCGGAGTGACAGTCTTGAAGCAAACAAACAAACAAAAAAATGAAAATAACGCCAGCAGAAAAAATTCATGAGTGCGTGTCGCTGTGACACGTCAAAGGCGGTAGAGTATTCTTCATCGCGTGCCTTATGTCCCTTTTTTTTTTTTTCCATCTGGACATGTATATATATATATATATATATATATATATTGCTTACTTTCTTTTCACGGAATAGTTGGCGGTGAAATGTCTCGGGGTTGCGGGGTGTGAAGCACCCCGGTGGTCTTGAGGAATCTCTGTGGCGGGAGGACGTTAATTTTGGCGCCAATTTAGAATCGCAGCATTGGAATATATGGCGGAGGGCGAATCGGCACACCAACGGTGATTGTGGGAGGCAAATGGCTTGTGGGTTGCCGATGAGGGTCCAACGCAGTTCATTGCGTAAAGGGAAAAAAAAGTGCAACGCTGGATGGGCGATGGCGGTGGGTAAAGAGGAAGGACGCATGCATGGATAGCATGCTGAGCTGACACTGAGTACTTTCTTCCGCGGAGGAGTAATTCTGCGCCGATTTCGTTAAGGTCTGTTGAATCATGCGGCGCTTCGTCTTGTGTGGTGAGCGTGCGATGGGTGACGGCCATCCATCTGCTGCTTTTTGCAATTGGGAGGGAAGCGGGGAAGAAGAATAGCGCCATGATAAAAAAATTATCTGTATTTCCCTACATGGCGACTCCCTGTGGATGGCATTGGCGGCATTTTCATTCATACCGCTGTGTCACCGAGAAATGATATCCCATTCATTTTGCAACCACAACAGAGGATGTTTATTGACAACCTCTCTTCAATAAAAGTGTGGTCGTGCATTGACTGCCAATTAATGTATTTGAACTTTTTTTTTTTCTTCCAACTGCGTCCGGGACATGCGGGAGCTTCTTTGTCGTCATTATAACTTGTACCTTGACAAGGGACTTCACAGTGTAGGCGCCGGTGAAAGTGATTTACGGCACCACTTTTTTTCCTTTTATAAACCCACGGCACAAGCCGACAAGGAAGAAATTGTGGAAGCGTTGGAATATCCTCATCTTGTGTATCGCATCCACACACACCCGCCGCCCACACACACATATTTATATGCTTTCACGTGTTTCTGCTGTCAAGGCACCCAACAAACACAACCGTCGCCGTATGACCGGATCCAGCGGAAGGAGGAGGGAAGGAAGAGAGAGTGAGCGGCAGAGGCCCAACATGTCCCGGCATTTTACTTCCGCGATGCTCCTCCTCCTCGTGATGATGTGCTGCGGATGTGGTTGGGCTGCTAACGCAGAAGGGCAGCAGTCAGGGGACGTGTGAATGCCACAATGGGTCGATATTTATGTGCCGATGAAGACGCAGGTGGAACCAAAAAGTGGTTCTGGCAAAAGTGAAATGAGGGATTCATTCGCTGCGCCTTCTCTTGTCCGTGCTGGTGGAGTGACGATTACCTTTGCGTGAATGCAATTGTGACGAAGAATGCAATGAAGGCCAAAGATGGGTTTTAATTCACGGGGCTTGGGTCTGGGACAACGTGGCCCGTGAGCAGCCGGGAGCATAATGGGCCGCACACCCTTGTAAGCTGCGATTTCACTATTGTGGCGACGGCTATCATCCAAAATTTTTCGAAGTTGAGCACTCCTCTACCGGGTGCGGGTGTGGATGCACCCGTCAGCACGAACTTCATTGTGCTGTCGCACAATGCAGACAGTAGTTGTGATATAGTGTTTTACGGCATAAAAACAGCATCGGGCAGCACTTGGGAGCCTGGGAAAGAACACCAGGTGTCGCTCATGCCTCAGGACGGCAACAAGGGCTCCGTGTACGTGAATGCTGAGCTTGTGGGGAGCCCAGAGACGATACGAAAACTTGAGATGCGTGAGGCTGAAATCACACGCTTCTACATTGGGGGCGACGAGGGAGACAGCGGCAGCAATGCGACGGTGACGAACGTGTTTCTGTACAACCGCCCACTGAGTGACGATGAACTAAAACTGGTCAAGAGAAGCGGTGACGGCTCCATGCGTGGGGGCGTGTTGCGGGCGCTGCTACTGCTGCTGGGGCTTTGCGGCCCTTTACTGAGAAATCGCAGTGGGGGAGTTACTGCCTCCAGCGGGAGCTATATGTGCCTCTCCACGCACCTTCTGGAATAATTGACGCTTTGCGTGGGCACATTTTGCTTTATCCCTTATTTTTATTTTATTTGCTTTTTAGAACGACGAATTTTTTTGGGAGTGTGAGAAAAGAATGTTTGCGAGAGGTCTGGCCACCTAACTCAATATATTCTGATGAGACAAATATCTTATTGTACGGTTGATTTTTTATTTTTTTATGAACCATTGCAAGTCCACGACGGAAGTAGTAAAGGCACTGACGGCGGTAAGACGAGTGTATTCCTTATTTTTGTTTTGGTTTTCTTACACTTTTTGATTCCCACCTTGCGGCGGGGTCTTGTGGCCGGAGGATTTTTAATGCTGCCACGTCGTAAGTAACGAAAAATATCTCAGTCCGAGTAGAGTGCAGCGTGTCACGATTAGTGGCTGTCCAAATATAATATTTATATGGAATAAACATCGAGGGTGTGGTGAAGCCGCTGCCTCCCCATTGATTCCTTCTTTTTCGTCCCATTTTATTGAGTTTAGGATGTGGTCAGAAGCCCGGCGAACGTTTTCTCCATTTATTTATTTTACTTATTTTGGGGTGCTGCAGCTCTTTCCTGTCCCTTTCTTGTGCTTTTTTAAATATATTTGGAAAAACCTCTTGAGCGGAGCGGTACCTTTTTTTTGTTTCTGTCCATCGACTGCCGACGCTCTCGGTACTGTCTGCTACGCCGGTGAAGAAAAAAAAATAATGAGAGTTACAGAAGCGCATTGGGAGCCCCAGTGGAATATAAATGACATGTGGGCACGGGGATTTGAGCGGCCAAAACAAACGCACCTTTTTTAAAAAAATTTCTGACAGAAATCATAAAAGGAAACAAACGCCAAATCTTTTTAAAGTTTTATTTGGCAAATATCTTGTTTGCCGCTGCTGGTGCCGCAGTGCAGTCACGAGTTTCACAAGTTTTTTTCTTCCTCCATTCCCCCCTGCACCTTTGCTGTGTGTTGCTGTGCCTATTCACATGTCTTTCTCTCGTTATTTGCCTCTTTTTTGCGTACATGCGGGCACACGCACACAATGCACAAAATATTACAATGCCGACGGAGGATCCTCTTTTATTCCTTGCCGGTATTCGCTTGCCGCTTTCTTCTGTGGAAATGAAGAAGGGAGAGACACCGGGAGGGGGCACGTTGCGGTTCCCTTTCATTTTGTCTGCAGCGCACCGCGTGCAGCATGATTGCTCCGAAATGCAGTACCGCCCGGCACATCGATGGGGCACGAGGTGAGAGACTCCTCTTGTCAGCTGTTGGTGCACGTGATTGTGCGTCTGCGGCGGAGTTGGGCTTTTTGCGCGTTTGTGTCTCTTCTGTAGATGTGCGATGGCGGTGACGGTGGGTGAATGTTTTTGATTGCACTTTTGTGCGTTGCTGTGGGTGACCCCTGCGGGTGTGCGTGTGGCCCCAAAACAAAGTTGTCCGAGGGCAAACTTGTCGGCACGATGACCGCAGCGTGTGGCTGTCGCTCTGTTCTCTTGGGAGATATGCCGCGACGCTTTTACGTGTGTGTTGCTTCGGGGACAATGTGCCGGCGGCTGTGCGGTTGCCGGATGAAGGGAGAGGAATGGAAGGGAGTGCGTGAGCGCAGCGGTCAGGAGTCGCGCTGGGTTTCTCGCCGCGGAGGGCATTGCCCACCCAACCCAGCACCGCTCCTCTCGGGCACCCTCTCACACTCTCTGCAGCATCGTATTCGACGCCACCAGCACGCAGTGAGGCAGCGGATGCCGACACCGCCACGAGTGCGACCGGAGGGGAACACGTCTGCTGTCGCGTTCCGAGGAGGCACACCGTGTGGAACAGCGGCGTGCGCAAAACCTTCTCGCGGAGCCCGCACACGACACCGGCCAGTGGACGCAGGGCGTTTGCGTCGTGGAGGACACCGTGGTGGAGTTCCTCCCTTCCTCCAGGTGGAAGGACGCCTGTTTTTACTTTCGTTCTTACCCATGAGAGGTTTTTTCTTCCTTTTTAGCTTAAGAACTCTTGCTGTGTTGGGGCGCGGCTTTGGAAAACCCATCACTTTTGATGGTGGGCTTGTGCTTCCGTTCGATCTTTCTCTTTTCCCACATTGTCGCTTTTTAAATATTTTGTGATGACGAGTGTTGTTGCAGAATACACGCTGAGGTGCTGGGCTTCATTATCGATTCATTTATTTGATATATATATATATATATATTTTTTACCTGGTGCGGTTTGCGGTGTCTCTGATGACCTTCCCGCATGGAGGGTTTCATTAGGGCGTCAGAGCTTTTTTGTGCGGACGGAAGGCCAAGGACGTTATCCATGCATGGCCATTGCGCTGGAAGGAGTCTTTTTTTTTTTTTACACATTGACACGGAGCCACTCCTGCGCATCTTCCTTTTTTTTTCCATTTTTTTGGAGATGCTCCCTTGGCTTTGCCTCCAACGGGATATGCGCGGAGTTACACGCGCCTTAAAAACCGAAGCCACGAGCCTTTTTTGGAAAAGGATGCTTTATCTTTCTTCTAACATTAAATTTGTTGTTTATGCTGATGTTTTTTTTTTTTGGAGTGGAGTTCATACTTCGTGACGATCCCGCGTATGGTTTTGGTGTTGGTCCGACCATGGCGGAATATATCCGCTGCGTCGGGGAAAGGCTTCTGGTGGATCCAACGACACGGTGGCTGGGGGGAAATAATAACGGGACGGACGTTATCCCGTTGATGGTGGTCCCGCTGATGCTCGATCTGATGGACTTTCGGAGGATGATGTGCAACATCAGTGTGCCAATCCGGCTGTTGGTTTTGGTGCAGAACGGGCGGGAGGCGATGCTGTCATTGTACCTGCAGGAACTCGAGAGGGTCTATGGGTGGTCCGGACGCCTGGTTGTGAGTCGTCACCCGGAAAACATCGGGTACAGCGCTGCCGTGAACATTGGGCTACGACTTGCACTCTCGCTGCCGCGCGAGGAAGTGCCCTTTGTTTTTGTAACGAACAGCGACGTAAAGTTTTCACCCGATCTTTTTCCCAACCTTCTACGCGATGTGCATGAAATGACGAGGCATGATGCCGCTCGCATGGATGAGTTGGCGGCGGAAATGGCGAATGAGCCGAGCGAGTACAGTCCTATTTTGCGACGGGGCCTGAAGGTGCTGCACTCCACGGTGAAGGATAACCGATTGTCGACGTCTGCGCTGCTGCCTGACCGCATCCGTTATGCTTCTGTGAAGGAGCGTGAAAAGGCGTTTTCGAAGCATTACGGGCACTTCTGCGCGTATTACAAAGGCAGTTGTTTTACATCTGTTATGTTGACACGCTTGGCGATCAGTACGGTGGGATATTTTGACGAGAACTTCTACCCAGCTTACGTGGAGGATGTCGACTACAGCTTACGCCTCCGTTTGCTTGGATTTCAGGAGCGGAATGTCTCATACGGCAAATTTGTGCATCGCGGCAGCTCGAATATTCGTTTCTCTAATAAAATGGAGCTACCGGACGCTCTCTGGTACCGTCGCGTTAGGTCTTTGAGTGCGAACAAACCATATGCCATGATGAAGTGGAACCGTCCACGGGCGTGCAGTGGCGGGTGCAAGGAGCTATATAACGGCATGGTCCCCCTAGACGTTTGGGTGAAGGATGAGGCACGCATACAGCGCATTCGGGTCTACGGGCATGATGAGAAGCAAGGGGTCCCAAAGGTTGAGTACGACAGGACACTTTTGTACCCTGTAAGGACGAAAGGAAGATGAACTGGCACCAGTTGCAAGTTTTATGTTTTTATTATTTTATTTTATTTTTCGCTTTAATTATTAAAAGTTTTTTTTTTTTTTTTTATATTTACACAAATGATATTTAAGCGAGTACGCCATGGGTTTTAAAGAGCGCAAGCATATATTTGGCATGACAGGAGAAGGGTGCAGCGTCCAAACTTGGCCGTGTTGCCGAAGGTAGGAGAGGGCGGCAGCAAGCAGTAAAAGTGAAGATGATGAATGAGGGAGAAATAAAAGGGGAGGGAAGCAGAAAACAAGGCAAAAATATTGTGAGCACAACGCTGCTTCTTACCGTGGGCGATCGACGCCGCAATTGGCTGCTAAGTTACCCACTGAAAGCGAAACTAGTTTCCGCTGAATATGCTGCGTGCATATCTGTCGGGCTTTTTGTTTGTTCTGTTGTTTTTTTGTCTCCCGCACATTTATTTCTCCGTGCCGCCTGAATCACTCGTTTATTATTCCCCTCTCTGTTTTTGTGCGTGCACCGAGAGAAGGGCTCGGGGACATGAAGTACGCTCCCCTTCTGTGACATGCCACCAAAAACAGAAGGGAAGAAAAAAAATAAAAGTGAAGCGGGGAGGGGAACCATCGCCACGCGGCCTTTTCTCCGAGAAGGCTGCTCGCCACGCCACTGAGGCGCGCCGTGTGCTTCACGATGCTCACTGGACTCGATTGGGGAGCCGTGAGTGATGCTGCGTGAGAGTGTGACGGATGCGTCCCCCAGGCGTCCCTAGAGGACCCTCTGGCCATTGGGACTGCGTGAAATGCGGGATTCCGCGGGGATATTTGGCCGTTTTGTTTTTGTTTTTCCATCCGCCCATCCCAAACCTCAACACGGCGGCTGAGCCAACGACTGCGACGGGATCCGTTGCGTATTTCCGAATCTTTTTTGCGTTGCAGCGGCAGGCCTGGTGTGTCCTGCTTGGCGGACACGGTGGACGGAAGCGGGCTGCCTTATCGGGAAAGCGATGGTCACGGCGGAGCGTGTTGCGTACGTCGCAATTTGGCGTGTTTGTGGCGAATCTTGCGGATGGTGTGACGGCGCCTCTTTTACTTGCGGGGATGGAAGTGATGCTCAACGGTGATGCACACGTTGCGTGTGGAGGTTTCTATTGCTGTTAGTTTGTGAATGTTTATTTTTTGCTTTTGCCGGAACACCACAGAGGGCGGTGTCTGCGGACAGCAGAGCATTGCGAGGAGGGGCATCGCACGATTTTTGGCGCGATGAGGCGGCTTTTGTGAATCTACGGTGTTTATTTTCAGGGTTGAGAGACTATCCTTTGTTGAAATGTATTGTGGGAGACCATCTGTGTGTTTGTTTTTCTTAATTAATCCCTTGGCATTTGGTGTCTGCCGTGAAACAGATGTTGATGGCCGTTTTATGGCGGTGAGATGCATTTTTATTTATTTATTTGGTGAGTGGGTAAATTGTTTTGCGTTCTGCCATGCGGCTTGTTGCTGACGGCACGTGGCCGCAGTGAGACGTTGTGAGCGCCTCCGATACGAGGTGCGATTGAGCAGTCATCTCCTCCGCTCGCCGGTACACGCTGTTGAGGCGGCGTGATGATAATGAATCGGCCTCTCAGAAAAGCAACAAGAGGGCGTTTGCTGTTCCTGCTGCGGTTCACGAGTGAACTCCCAATTCGTGGGCGGGGTTGCCCTGTGTGCCGTATTTCTTTGAATCTTGATGAGTTTTGCACATGGCCATCCACACGCACATGCACACAATCTCCCTGTTTGTCCTCCTGTGGGCGGGAGACCGGGATGCAAAGGGAAGAATGTGGCCCGTGCCAGCATGTGACAAAGTCTTTCTTGGGAGGGATTGTGACTGTGATGTAAGTCCTGGCAGGCAGGAATGGAATGAGAGGGGAGCGGAGGGCGAGTAACAACGATTCTGTGCGGGGCAATGCGCAGTGAATGGGGCGAAGTGGTATTTATGTTGACTTTTGAAAAACATTTTGTCTTTTTTTTTTGTGGCAATGGAAAGAAACTTTGGGTGGTGTGTTGTGGATTATTTGCACATAATTCAGCGAGGCAACACCATTTGCGGGGAAAATGAATTGCATCTGCGTGCGGCTTGCTTTGTGAGCGCGAGATGGTCGGGGAGGCGTTCAACGCCCGAGAGGCCAGGAGCAAAGAGGCCTGCACTGCTGCAAGCAGAGGGATGCACGCTCCTGTTGGTGGCGTTGCTGTGGAGCCCTGAAGTGCCTGCAGGGAAGTTGTTTTTTCGCCGCCTCATTATTTTATTGGTGCTTGCCGCGGACTTTTGAGGCGGGACGTGGGATGGACCGAGAGAGCGAGTGTCGTGTGGCGGTGCTGTGAATTGGTGCCGCCCACGTTTGTGCACATATTTCCGTATGTGTCCGCGTTCTTGCCGCGGCGGTGCACCGGGAGCGTGTGACTGATCACTGTATCACTTGCAGACTGTTTTGGCAGGACTTTGAATGGCGTCGCCGAATGATGAAATTTCGCGTCCATGTGTGTTTGTGTGTGTTGGCTTCCGCCGTGACTTGCCGTGTTGTTGTTGTTGCTGTTTTCTGTGTGCAATTGTTTTCCGTGCTGTCCCTCCCGGATTGTCTCGTGCTCCGCTCTCTGCGTGGGCGCTCTGCTCCAACCCCAGTGACGTATCTGATGTGTTGCCGCTGTTGCTGCCTTCTTCCTATTTCTGACATACACACGCTAGGAAAGAAAGCAACCAAACGCGAATTGCTACTGTGAGATTCGAAGACACTGAAAGGACCAACAACAAAAACACCGCCCACACACAAATATTTGTATGCTTTCACGTGTTGCTTCTGTGGATGCACCCCGCACACACAGCCGTCGCCGCGTGACCGGATCCAGCGGAAGGAGGAGGGAAGGAAGAGAGAGTGAGCCGCAGAGGCCCAACATGCCCCGGCGTGTGTTTACTTCCACGGTGCTGCTTCTTTTTCTCGTGTGGATGATTTGCTGCGACTGTGGAGCTGCAGCCGCTGGGGGCAGTAAAACAAGGAACACCATTGATCCTTTTAAAGGGAAGACGTCGATATCATTTGCTAATTGGAAGGAGTTTAACGAGGACGGCGGCAAAATCACCTCGCTCCGTGTTCCTGGCCTTGTTAAAATGGGTGATGATGTATTTGCCGTGGCTGAAGCGCAGTGCGGGGAGAAGGATGGAGCCGGCCGCTGTGCTGGGATTGTGTCAAAGCATCTGGATATAAAGGGTGACTCAATGGATATTTTGATGTCGGATATGAATTGTTTTTGCACACAAATTGTGGACACTGCCGAGAATAATTTTGGGGCAACGGAAGTGTTGCGACCAACGACAGTTGTAATTGAGGACAGTGTTTACATGCTCCTGGGAAACCACAGCCTTACAAA